TAAGAAGACTTGAAACAACTGATACCTTTGTGCTGATGTGGTGTGATGATTTGAAGTCTAAATATTTATTGGAGTGGGTTTTCTTCCTGAGTATGGATATACTAAAATGTCCGGTTTTCCTCCTTTTAACTAGTCAGGCTGTCTAGAAATGGTAGTTCACCGACGTCTGATTCCGCCTGCTTGCAGAGTAAACTGGATTCAGGGAGATAGATTGTTTAGCTTCTACAAGAATGAACTGTGTAGATCTCGTTTTAGCACTACAAAAGTATCATCTACATATCTTAACCATATTTTAGGAGTGAGTATGCAAGAAAAGATGTTATCTTCGAAAAAGTCAGCGACTGTTGGGAAAACAGGTGAACCCATAGCTACACCATTTGTCTGTCTACATAAATTCCCTTTAAATGTAAAATAATTAATCTCTAGACAGAATGAATTTTAAGCTCTTAATTATTTCACTGGTGTCCAGTGGACATCTTTGTGATAGTGTTGTATCTGATTCTAATAGACTGGAAATAATATGAAGACATTCGGTAATAGGGATACTATCCATAGTAAAAACAACAGCTCTGCTACTGAAACTTCGTATTTCAAGCTCGAAACCCACTCGAGACGGAACATATTGTAAAATAGGAATTCCGCCCTGAAATGAATTGAAACAGTCTGAAAATTTCTCAAGCTTCAGTTTGTTTCCTTACATAAAATCTATGATGAAATCATCAAAATGCCTAGCCTGTCTAGAAATCGATTATTACTTATCTGGTATCTATCACGTTTACTATCAAAATTCAAAACAAACAGCCTACAAATTGCATAATTAAGATGGTAAATCATGGATAGAAAATTTTGATAGGGATCCCAAAGACCACCTCCCACTTCTTTTTCTTACTCACAGCATGCCATAGAACCTGAACAAAAATAGTGAAATAACCACCTTCGGGCAGCCTTCGGGTCTTTGAGCAGTGGATCTAACTTATTACGTCGGAGTTGTCACCGTCAATGAAGTGAGACGGAAAGTAAATAATTTCTGTGCTATAGAGAGAGAGACAATAACTACAAGATGAGTAGCGTCTATGGATTGAATTACACAAATTCTGTTAACAAAATGAAGAAGCAAACCGACTATTCACTCTGAATGACTTAATTAATTTCGGTTCATGATAACTCTGTAACGCCTATTTTAGATGGTCTCGGAAAATTGTGGATTTGTTTCGATTTGATCTACTTCAAGTTTGACCACGGATTGATATCAGTCAGACAACCATTGAAAACCAAGGAGTATAGAACACCTGTTTCGTCCCAGTTTAGAACTCATCGGAAGTACTCACCCATTGGCTTTGGAATCCAGGATCTTCTGATTACAAGGAAAGATACTAGGCCACTAAGCCATTCACAATTGCTTATTAATTCTGACTTCTACTAATTTGAGATTTTAGCGCGACAACCAGCCGATTTCATTGGTGATTATTTGTCCTCACTGCCGACCGAGTGCAACCCGCCCCCTGGTCACAACTTTTCACTTGGACTCCAGGTAGCTGCTTCCAGTCATTAGCGAGCATCACATTAATTTTCATGAAGTGTTTTGTAGAGATTTGATTTGTCTCAAGTTGATATCAATTAGAGGACCGTGGGTCCAGCCGGTCAGGAGTGAGGTCCAATATTCATCAATGACTATCGCTGGTGATTGTGCCAGCCAAAATCCTCAACTGGTCGAAGTTAGAATTCATGGGCTGACCACTGAGTCGGGTCTCAGTAGCTGAATGGTCTATGAGCATGCCCAGTAACGAGAACATCCTGGATTCAAAAGCCAGTGGGTTCATACTTCTGATGAGTTGCTGATCAGGGCGAAATAGCTATCCAGTACCACTGGTTTTCAGTGTTTCTCTGACTGATATCAATCCGCGATCTACCTTGATACATAAAAAATACCCTAACATTGAGTCCAATGTCGAATATGAAGCATCAATTGTAACAAACCATTACCATATGTCACTCGGTTGGTCTTCTGTCAACCGGGAATCAATTCGACATTCAAACAGCGTCAAATTCATTTGAATCTATTCACTAAGTAATTAATATCAATGTATTCACAGAAAGAAAATATCACTACTTCCTAGGCTGATGTCGCTTCACTTGCTTTTTATGTAATTTTATTGATGACAACAGTTTCAATGTAGGTGTTCTCACGTACTACTCAAAAGAAATAACTAAGTTTTATGTTGTTTATGTTGATGACTTCCCCTTTGATTTATCAGAATCGAGCTGATCAGCTTCATTTTAGTCTATGGGCTGCTACAACAGATGCCTTGATTACTAGCTTGAGTTGTCGAGTCTGAAATAGGGCGATATGCACTTCATGGACTCTACTGTTAACCACCACTAAATATGTAACTTCATGTTTCAGACGTCATAAAATATTTACATTACACTTCTGGCGATGTCTCCCCAAAAGGAATGGTTTAGCATACAGAAGTGAGACAATCGATTTCCCCAAGAAGGCTTTATAAGGAACTGTGTAGACAAATCGATGGTGTGGTAACGATATCACCACTAGGACCCATTCTAGACAACATTTTCCTTGCAAAACTATAAAATGGGCGTTTGAAGGATGTCATTGATGAACTTCCATTCCATTGTCGGTCCATAGATGATACATTTTCGATTATGAAAAATGAGGATGAAGGAAAGAGCACCTTGAACGAATTTAACGGTGTTCATCATGCAATAAATTTTAACATCAAGAAAGAAAAGGACTCTAGTATTTCATTTCTAGACGTCCTTATGACCAGAAAAGAGGATGGTACAATAAGAAGAAGTGTATGTACAATACCTATATCAACTGGTCAGTATACTCATTTTATCAGCTTCATGCCTTTGAAATACAAACGCAATCTGATAAACTGTTTGACCTGACACAGAGCAGCAGCAATTTTCTCGGATGAATGTCTTGATGAGGAACTTAATAATATTAAACGGCTGCTGAGTGAAAACGGTTATCCAGAAAAGTTTATTGATAAGAATATGGATTAAAAAATCAAAGCAGCCCAATGTACCAACTGTTCCTAAAAAGGCCTTATTCTTACAAATTCAGTTTCTCGGGGACAACATCAACGAGATACTAACACAACACCTTAGAAATGCGGTAAAAAGAGCATTCTCTGCTGCTGAATTATTCTGTGTCTTCAGAACCACCCATGCCTATTTGGCGTTTGAGCGTGAATGATAAACTGCCTAATTTTGCCTATTCTATGTTACCTACGAATTTCAACTGCTCCTTTGAAGTGATCCGGTTACATAGGCCGCACAATTAGGCGTGTTTCTCGTCGGATTTCCTAACATCACCCTGCATGGTGGTTAAGTAAAGGGCAAACAAATTCCATTCATTGCGATATTATATCGCATCTCGTGGATACAGAACACAAGATTAATGTGAACGAGGCAGCTTTCAAAGTCATTTACCACATACCAACAAACCTCAGTTTCACTTTAAGAGTTCGACTACTAAATATTGCTGAGGCCATCGGGATTCACATTAAGAAGCCTAATTTACGTGTCTAAAAGGAGCTAGTTCAGTCATTGTCCTTACTTTGACCATCTGGGTTCGAATGATCCCCGACTTTTGTGGAAATTTTCTTAATTTTAGTTGATATTCTATATGCTATTATATCTTTACTATTATAATTTAAGCACCTTTAACTAACTGTAATTTCATTGATCTTACTTAACAAATCGATATTATTTAAAAGAACACCAGTGTTGTTACTGATGACTTTTCTAGAATATTCTCTGTATATAAACATGTGTATGTATAATTGTAGTGCGAAAAGAGGAAATTATCGAAAAGCGAATATTCTTTGCTCAATTATTTTGTTTTTTATAGATGTCTCAATCGGTTTTGATCGTAACAAATTTAACAAGACATCTTATATCCAAATGATTGATGTGAGCGTTTGTTGTAAAGTGTATACTTCAGTGACGAACTTACCACTGAACAGCTATGCAGGCTGACACCCAAAAGATACACAACGGATGATAACAGTCTCACTTCGACATGAATGGTGAACTTAAGATGCTTCTAAATATAGACACACATGTATCTGAAGTGCAACAGCGTTATTGTTTACGTATTCGATGTCTATAAAAGCGCTAATAAACAACCTATAGCTGCCAGCTCCACATTCTTCAGTAGATTCAGAGGCATAATTCCCATAAAGTTTCGAATTTATGTCTTCTACTTCATGGTTAAGAAATGTGTTATTGAAACATGGAATAAAATACGAACATGGCTTAAACCGACTCTTAGGCTAACTATGTGACTCTCACTTTGCTTACAGTCAAGTAAATCCTGAGAAATAGACACCAGTGAAACAAAATGACCATCGATCACTGAATTACAAAAGAGAAATCACTGTAGTAGCTGGCAACTAGCAATGAAATTTAAGATGCGTGTTACATTTCATTCGGGACTCTCCAACTGGATGTACCTGCACTCCTAGTTAGTGACAATGTTTTTGGGCTGAGACTTAAACACTGCATCCATTATTTCAAGTGCCAAAGCATTATTTATTAGGCAACTAGGTCCCTGGGTAGTGCGTCAGTGGCACGGCGGTAGAATGCTCGCCAACGACGGCTCATGTGGTTCAGGGTTCGATGACCGTCGACCGACGCAGTCCTTCACTTTGCTAAACCGGTAATAAGACTGGTAAAGAGGGACGGTTGGGCATAAGGCTGGCAAAACAAATGCCACTGCTAACAAAACTTCAAAGCTCCAGCTTGAAGCTCTATGTTCCACTGAAAACATAAAGGAATTAAAAAAAGAGGTTCCTGGGTACATCCTGGACTTCAATCTTGCTCCTGAGTTATCACTGGAAAGAAAGGGAGCGATCACTTCATTCCAAAGCGAAAAAATCAACGCGAAATGCCAATTATTCGAAAATCGGATCACATAAACGAAAGAATTCTACTGATTAGACGTTATCACAGGCATACACTTAACTTACCTTATTTGAAAAATCTGACTGATTAGCACTAGCACGAAGTGAACTACGATTTGAATTCTTACTACTCATCGATTTGAATTTACGATCATCTGGTCTTTCAATTGTCAAGGTGTGTTGTAGTCTTCTTGTAGTTGACTTAACTGAAACAGATGGTTCAGGCTGTGGTTTCACATAACTCATAGCTTTGCGTAACGGATGACGTAGAAATCCCGGTCGACTAAACTGACCAGTGTGAGTAACTGCTGCTGATGAATCATTATTATTGGTTGGTTTATGTACAGTTTGACTGACTGAGTCTGACGACTGTTGATCTTTCACATGTTCAGTTTTCAATGTCTTCCACTTTTTTAGACTATTTGAAGATACATACTGACCTGCAGTATTTCTGAAAAGCAAAGATTAAAATAAAAGAAGGCAGTCAGAGAACCGTCACAGACATAGACACAACTTTATTTTAGCATAAATATCTCACCGTAAAAAGGTAAGTCATCATCTCTTTGGGTTTCAAATTTTTCATTCCTTATAGAAAAACGTCCTTCAAATGGCATTTTCACTAATGCTGAAAGTCGTAGAATGTGGGAGTGGAATGCCTGACAAAATAAAAGCAATTCTAACGAACAATTTCTTTTTGACGAATCATTGGGGTGATATATTTAGCAGAAATTTATGTTACCGTTATCCATGCATACTCTTTTTTCTCAAATTTAGGCTTCATGTAGATATCCATAATCACACAAAAATGACCACAGTTAGTGAACCGTTGAAGACCAAGGAGTACGGGACAGCTGTTTCGTCCTTGCTAGGGACTCTTCAACGGCAAGTCCCATTTGGGATCAAACTCAGAACCTTCAGATTGCAATGTAAGCTCGTTGACGATATAGCCGTAAGGACGAAGTTCTATGGCTTATAAGGTGTAACTTCTGCCAGTTCGCAATACATACCGCAATAGATGGACAGTGTCATTGAGGAATTATTGTTCGTACACTAAACTCTGCTGGTCAAGACTTCTCACTAGACCTTCAGGCGAATTCTTCCAGTAGTTAGTCAATGGTATCCACTGTTTTCATTTCCAAATGTCAATTTGTAGGGATTTGACTGGTTTCAAGCCAGATCACGGATTGAAGCATTGAAAACCGTCGTATACTGGATAGCTGTTTCATCCTAGTTTGAGAATATTCAACAGTACGTTCTCAGGACTAGCAGATTACGAGACGAGGTCGTTGAACATTCAGTAATTAGGACGGAATATAACGGCAAATAAATTTCAACATCTATAAACGCATGGTGCGTCGGTGGCACAGCAGTAGAGTGCTTGCCGACCACGCAAGTGGTCCGGGGTTCGATCCCCGACCGACACCGCACTCCTTTACCTCGCCAAACCAGTAATAAGACTGGTAAAGAGGAAAGGTTGGGGATGAGGCTAGCTATCCCCATCCTATAGAAATAATCATCACTGCTACAGAAACTTCAAGCCTCTAGCTTGAGGCCCTATGTTCCACTGGGAACGTAACGGGATTAATAAACGCATGATTTCTAGTGCCACAGCCAGCCGATGTTACCTCATCCCATCTCATCACCTTAATGTCATTAATTGAAGAATTCACCACTTTATCGTTCATTTAAAAAAAATATATAATTAAATGTCAACTGAAAGTGTACACCACCCACCATAGTTTAAAATTCAGTTACTTTCTAACTTTACTAAGAACCATGAGTCATCAGGTGATCAGAAGTAGATGTTTCAGGACCAGTGGAAAAAAATCCTCAACACAATCTTCAGTGGCACTTCTATATTTCTCCGTTTAATAATAAATCTAATGCCAGTACTTTGATTGGACACTAGTCAGTAACTAGTGTGATGTGTCTGGCTAGTCCTTTGTTTGGTGCAGACTGAATTCTATCAGTCAGTCAGGTTTGCAATGTGGCCACCATGACACTAGGTGGTAGCTCGCCATCACAGTGCACATTGATTTGATGATATATTAGATGGTTGGAGGCAATCGACCACAGGAAGCAGGGTTGTAGATACGCCTTGCTGACTGGTGAGTGCCAACTAGCCCAAAACCTAGGTCGAGCAAGGCTTCCTGCCGATCGCCTACAACCATCTAAGATATCATCAAATCTATGCCAGTGTTAAGCATTGACTTTAACAGCAAGTTATTATTTATAGTGTCAGTAAAAAAAATTTATTTCTAGAAAATAATCAACAAAACTATGTTAGGTATATGTTGAGTTTTTTTTTAAGAACACAAATTCTTTTCACTGTTGGTTAGCTTCCTGTCGGACATCAGTCAATGGTCTAAGCTAAATGGTCTCATGCTTAATCCCTCAAAATACCAGACTATTAACTTCTCCCTCAGGCATAAACGAGATCTACAAACACTAGTAAGTACTCATGAAGCCTGTTGATTGAGGAGACTAAAACTGAAACTAAGTCTAATGCAAAATACCTCGGTCTAGTTCTATCTTCCGACCTTACTTGGTCATCTCATATCCTAACTATTTCTAAGAAAGTGTTCTGTCTAACCTACTACATTAAGAAATTTAGACAATCTGGAATCACTCAACCTCTACTTTCACAACTTGTCAACTCTTGTATCTTACCTATTCTACTTTACTGCTCCCCGTTAATCTTTCCTGGTCGCCTTGTATCTCATCAGGTAGAACCAGAAATCAGTATAAAATAATCTATGCTCGTAAAACCAAGTACAGGAACTCAACGATACCATACTTGGCCCGTGTTCTAAGTGACAGAGACAATGTTAAGCGCGAAACCTATGACTTGCTTTGATGTTAATAACATAATTTTAGGCTCTTTTATTTCTCTCTTATTGTGTATTCTATAGTGAACTCCTTCTTAAACATACTTAGCTACGTAAATTATTAACATTGGCTTACTTTTTTGTATTTTACTGTATTCCTTCTTTTGTGTATCTACTGGTTCCGACTGTATTAGCACTATGAGTATTACAAAATTGTCCTGTCACTAACTATCATGTAATTATTAGTTTTGTGGTTGTTTTTTTTTGTTTCTTTTTTTCGGCAATATTTACTGACAATCATTGGTTGTGAACGCCATTATCATCATCTTAAAATTTCGTATTATGCAGGATTACTCACACTACCACTACAAAAACGGCATTAGACCTGACAATAGGAAACAAAACAACAACCCTGAAATGTTATTTTAGGATTGTTTAGTGTTGTTTCAACCAAATTAACTGATTGTCTTGGCAATAAACATCCTTAAATATCATTTCATTACTTCTTGTATGACTGTAGCTTTACTGTCACCATGCATAATCATATCATAGCTTCCACTACCCAATACTGAGATATTATTATATGATGTTTATTTTCGTTTCTACTTCTTGGAATTTTTTCGCATTTTTTCAATTATTTTTGTGTTTTTCCGCTGTTGTTGTCTTTATATTTATTTCTTTGAAATACTTCTTTTAGACGTTGGATAAAATTAGATGCAAATATTGTAGATATGTGCTGAAACTTCCACGCTGTACCACTAGTACTGTTTCTGGAATAAAGCAAATTATAATTATTATAATTATTATTATATACCACTGATTGACGTCAGTAGAGGCAAATCACTTATGTCAACCCCTACATTTGGAGTCGACGGCATCAAATGGTATTAGTGTCATTTGCGAGAATGAATACAGTTCATAATATCTTCACCTGAATAGATTCACCCGACAAACAGGACTTTAATGAGTTTTCACTAAGAAATGTATAATTGGTTAGATGATTTCATTATAATAATAATAATAATAATAATAATTTACTTTATTCCAAAAACAGTACTTATAATACAGAATGGAATTCTCAGCATTTGTCACAATATTGCATCTGATTTACTCAAAGTGTATATAAAATTAAAAATTTAAAACAAAAATTAATCACAGAAATTTGTCCACATTAACGACATAATTATTAGATATAGTAATAATAATAATAGTAATAATAATAATAAATACTAATAACAGTGAGTTTGTTTCAAACGGTATTGTCAATTCAGTTTGGAAACTTTAGCATGTTATAGATTATTGGGTCTAATGTTCTGTTGATATAGTATAGTGAGGTGAAATACAAAGTTAACAGTCATAATACAGCTTAAAATTATGTCCACAGTTATGAAAAATAAAATAAACAAAACGAAAAAATTGAGAGGATTATAAATATAAGAAATACAATAACAATAAAGTATGGGCTGACATCGGTTAGAGAACCATTGGAAAACCAGCCACAGGGAGTACTGGACAGCCAGCCGTTTCGTCAGCCTAGTTTGGGACTCCGCTTCAGCAGTACGCACCCACCTCAGCCAGTTCGAACCCAGGATCTTCTGGTTACAAGGCTAGCAGTTACATTTTTATGCTCATTATAATTTATGCATCTTTCGGGAATTGTGATAATTCCATTGATCTTACTTAATAAATCGATATTATTTAAAAAACAACAATATTGTTATTGACTACTATTCTAGAATATTCTATGTACATAAACACATATATATGTTTGTAGAGCGGGAAGAGGAAATTATCGAAAAGGATATTCTTTGTTCAATTATTTTAGTCTTTTTCTAGATGTTTGAATGAATATTTTTGATATATTCAGATATCTGTTCAAAATATCAGCTGTACAAGTTAGATTTTACCTCTTGACGATGTCGACTGAAACTTTCAGATGTCTGAAGAACAGAGATAACATCACGTTGGCTTTACCCGCTTAGTATGTTGGCAGGTTTCTAGATAAAATCGATTTAATAGCCCTGGTAACAAAAAGTACGAGAGAAAATTATGAAAACTTCACCGCCCGTGTTTACTTCTCAAAAACACTCATGAATTGATCAATAAGTATACAGGCATCAAGTGTTAGTGAATAGTGATCCGACAGAACGAGTTCATGAGTAATGTTCAAACGATGACCTATCAGAGTTTTCAAACAATAAGTCAGGTTTATTATTATTAACCACTGTTGTTTAGGATTTAGGGGAAGATTTCATCCAGAACTGTGAAACTGGGAGTTATTATTAAAGCAGTTTGAGTAAAAGTGTCCTGTTCACTATCCCTACACTTCTTTGAAAAGTTTCTGATGAACGCATTGTTTTTCATCTAAATAGGCCTGATCTACTCTGATTGGCCATCTAAAACTCGTTCGTACTCTTATTCTCTAAGATTATTTACCTTAAACTGCTAGTCTGTTGACACTGGTATAAAGTACTATGATATGTGAATGAATAGGAGGCGTTCGATACTTATTGATGATTATGACACAAACATAGAAAGTAACTAGTGTCATTAACCCCGAATACCTCAGCAGTAACATAAATATCACTGGAACACAAGTTAACGAGGGTTTAAATCCCCAGTG